GATAAAAAAAAGAAAAGAGGAACAGAAGGAAAAAAAAAAGAAAAGAAAGATAGGATGAAGGAGGAAGACGAACAAGTATAGAGAAACATAAAGGGAGGAAAATTTATCAAAGTCCCCTAAAGTTATTTTAGCTTTACTAATAAACACTGTTGAGTGGAGGATAGAGAATTGTGACCTAAGAATTCACTCAAAGTCACTAAAAGTTACAAAGATTTGTAAATAAACCCTAACAGAGAAATCTAGGATCATATATGAACAAGATAATTATGTATAGACCCTTGTTATTTACTCTGTTTGCAAACAAGTCCAATCTAAAGAATAAAAGATAACTTTTGGGATTGATTAATTACCTATAACCCCTTGCCTTATCATAAATTATTAGGAAGTCCAAAAGCTAATATATGAGAGTTATAAAATTTTGATAAATTGCTAAAGTTAGCAATAAGCTCATATGTACCATATTTATAGATTTTAAATATTATTGATTGTATTTGAATTTATTTGGCTCTAGATTATGAATTAGTTTACCTGTAAATATGTTCATGAATTAATATTAGTTTTATATCTTCATATTATAGGTTCTAGTTGATATTCAGGAGAATAATATTTTGAGCAAGTTGTGACCACTAGAGGTGAGTTCATTTCTCACTAGTATTTTATAATATGAAATTGCATGAGTGTTATATTTGATTTATCTTGTGATCTAAAAATAAATAATATATTATTTTCATGTATATAAAGTTAAAGATGATTTAATCTACTTCTGTTGTGGCCTAAGCCATAATACGATGTTGATGTCGTACAAGAGATGAAAAATCAATGTGATTTTATATGAACTATAAAAAGTGAATTTGGTTCTCATGCGATTTCAAATAATTGTGGGTGTTATGGTGTTTTTAGTCGCTAAAATATGACCCTTTGCCAGCAACGGACATGTGTCCCCCTCCCTGCACCGTTCAAATTGAATTAACGGTCAGGACCACCAAGAAGGACATGTCCTTAGATTGACTCGAAAGGCGGTATTTGTCGGTCCTCTTGTCGAAGACGACTCGCTACGAGCCCACTCAACTAGTTATTCGACATCTTACAGGAACTCGAAAGACGTTACTTCTCGACACCCCTCGCTACAAGCCAAAGGACGACTTCAACCTCAAACCTTCCCCGTTGATAGTACGTCGGCATCATATTAAATGCTTGACAAGTGCCATCATTTCTCCATCCTCTGCACTCTTTATGACACATCGGATTATGTCGGCTTCATGCGCCGCCCATCTCATCTCATTAATGGCGAAATGACAGCGCCCATCACACAGTCGATCCATGACCGACACATGTAAAGTAGATGTTGACTCAGCCGCTAGCTCAGGCTCGGCCAAAAAGACTAGACTACCCCTCTTTGCTTGGCTATAAAAGGGAACACTATTCCAAATACCAGGGGAAGCAATCTCTCAAAATTCTTCTCCACTCCACTACACTTAAGAACTCACACAGTTCATCACTTTCCTTCTCAAGTCCATCACTGACTTGATCATCGGAGAAACAACGGGGGAGTTAGTCCTCGTCCTCTTACGAGTTGCTATTTGTGCAGGAAGAAGCTACTCAACTCAAAACAAGATATTCGAAGAAGTTAGCGGCCCCTAATTAACCTCATCCCCCATTATATTATTTGTGTGATTGTTAACATCAACAGTGCGTATTGCTTTATTTGAAAGCTTTTGAAGAAAAGAAATATTTTGAACGTGTTTTGACGGTTTAATAGATTCAATGATTTTGTGGCTTAGTTGTTCGCATCGGAAATCTTTTTCATTGCGGAATCCATTACAATTGTTTATCAATTACAGTATCAACAAGAAGGAGCCTTTTTATAAGACTTTTCTTACACAAATAAAAGAGGACTTCCTAGAAACACACGCAGGATTGTTTATCGATCGCTGCTTGTGTGGGATCTTTGCCTGTGCCGAGGACACATTAGTCCGTGGACCGTCAAAAATCAGATCCGGTTGATCGTGAAGAAGGCTCATCATTCCCGTTCCCTTATAAAAACAAGAATGGAAGTAAATATCTCAATGATACGAGATAAATACCCTTCTCAAGATCAAAACAACAGTATGATCTTGAGGGAACAAGTGACAGGGTGCAGATCTCTCGAAAGATTCTTCTTTATGCTGAAGAACTCGCTAAGAACTCTTCTTTTGATCTGAAATTCGTGGCTCCTTACTATCAAAACATTAGGGCTTCGCCTTTGCTCTGTTAGTGCGTCAATCCCCTCTCCTCAATAATAGCTTTCCCACGTTTAAGGATAGCCTCAAGGCAGTTAGAGAGGCTCCGGAACGAACGAATCCCGCAAATCTATCGAAATATGTGCCGTCGGGAGACTGATTTGTGCAAATACCCCTGTGTGTTTCGCACATAGTGCGAAACACTCTTCGATGTTTCGCACTCTGGGTGCGAAACACAATGTTGGCTATGTCGTTTCTCCGTCGTTTCGTAATTTCGCATGTTTCATACGCTTCGTCGACTCGCTTTGCTTCTTCATAGCATCAGATGATCCTCTTTAGACTCTGATAATAGCGTTCGTCGTCTTCTCTTCGTCTCAAGCTGTATGCGATAACCTATAGGTAATTTTTGACGCCTACATTAGTATCTGATAAAAGTAAGAAAAGTAATATCTGTAAACTATTTTAATTAAGGTTTAAGATGATTAGTTTACACTCGTCCACTTGATTCAAAAATGTTTGGCAAATTCTGATAAGAGATGTCTTTCTAATTTGACAAGTGATTCTCAATGTTTATATACCCTCAAAAAAAGTCCACTATGGAGTGATTCTGTCTGGCATATGATGAATGCACCTTTATTTGACCCCTTTGTATTGACCCTTCTATATTGGCCCTTCTGAAATCTATTCTAGCCCCTCTTTATTTGGCCAGTAACCTATAGCAGTGATAGGTGCATTCGATTCCCGGGAATTATCTATTAGGTGATGCGTTTTACACATTCTCATGCTACTAGGCTATCATTCGTAGCCTTAGTGTGACCTATGAGGTGATTTTCACATTCACGAATGACTCATCGAGATTTAAGATTCTGACAATTGACTGTGAAATAGAGATAATAACAAACCTTTGGTTTTTGCATAAATTTAATAGTCCATTTCTTTCTTAGTATTTACCTTGTGTTAAAAAGGGGTCTGATTTTGGAATATATTACAATATATTTAGTTTTCAAATGAGAAAAAACTATAAACTTTTACATTCTTCCATAAAAATAACAATAGTATGTTGTTTGGACCTACTTGTATTTTTTTGAATTTCTGGTGCAAAACTTATAATTCGTTATTTTTGTGAATTATTCTCATTATTATTTTGTTAGTTATTTAGGAACTCTAGTGGGAAATGTTCTCACTGAACCCTAGCTCACCCCGTTGTTTTTTTTATTTTTTTTCAGATCTTGCCTAGCTAAATTATAAGCTGAACTTTTGGTTGTGGTGCGTCGTTGAGAGGAATTATAGGAAAAACCTCATCTTTGGTGTTTCACACAATCAACGATATGCTTTATTTTGTGAAACAATGAGCTATATATATATATATATATAGTGGCTTTGAACTTCTATCATCAGCAAGATTATATAAGTTTTGAGATAAGCTACATGATATGAAGTGTCAGACTTGACTCATGTACAGGACTTGTCTTGTGCATGAGTCACTATTGTCGCGTAAACTGTATATATGAATTTCCACTGCAAATTCGGGGCATGGCAGTAAGATGGTATCAGAGCCGAAGTTTCGACGTTAAAAGCCTTATAGGGCACATTAGCATAGTGTATATACGTTGGATGAGTGTTATTATATTGGTCAATTATGTGACATATATGTCTGTATACATATGTACATACATTTATGCATATAAATGTTTTATAGTAAGGCCTTTTACATATATTAAGGAAGGTACATGTAGGATTTAGTTGACCTTATTTTATTTTAGAAATTTCTAATAATTCTTTAATACCTGTTTATCTTATTTTATTTTATTTTATCCTTTTATTCTAGTGTGCTGATGGATGGTCCCCCTTTTATCGGATGGTGAGTATTCATTCATCAACCGGTTCCTCAAACTACGACTTCAGTAGACAGCACGTGGAGCCCAGCCATAAAGACTGGGAGTACGATTCTGAGGAGACAGATCTAGAGGAAATTCTGGCCGACTGTGCAACGTCAAATTCCTCCAATATAGAGTCAGTAGAGATCATATCAGTAGATTCTTCAGAATTCGAGACTAATCCCTTTGATAAGGATGAGCCGGTGGTAGAAGTTATTCCCATAGAGTTCTCACACTCTGAAATCATTATGATTTCATCTGACCCCTCCTGTATGGAGTCTCATGTAGCCGAGATTTCTAATGATGACCAATAACTTTCTTCCTCTAAGGGTGAGTCGAATATCCTGGGTATTGGTGCATATCTTGATCTTGA